AAATCAATTTTGTAGATTCTTTAAGGCCTAAGAAACAGAAAAAGAAAGAGGCAAAATAACTATTAAACAATAAGAAAAACTTCTGACAACATGTAAAGGATGAAATGGCAATCTGCCCCTACAGTCTTTTTTTTTTTTAAACATCTAATGACTTATGGAAATTGACTAAGGAAGCAAAAACCAAATTATTAAATAAACTTGCCAAAAGTATTAACTGTTAATAGGTGAAACAGACAAACTTTCACTATTTGACATCTGATAGGGAATCCAGCATGTTATTTACGTAAGAGAGAGATGAGGGGGAGGAAGAGCTATTTAACAGAATGCTGGGGAAAACAACCCAAACATCCCAACATTTTATTTAATTATGTAGTAGTACAAAATCTTACTTTTTAAAAAAGAGATTAAAAAGCCCCTCACTATATTCAACTTTATTATATGTATATTATTCACAAAATATAGGCCCTAAAAGCTGAGGAAACACAGGCAAGTTAAAACACCATATATGTGAATAAAAATCTTGCAAAAATTAATTGAATACTTCATGGGACAATAAGATTCTCAATGATGATCTTCAAGTTAATTACAGTGCTAATATGTTGTGTATTTAATAGAGTATTCCTTAGGAAAGAGATGAGCAAAAACATTTAAAAACAGAAACTAAAAACACAAGCACTACTTCTCAAAAGATGACATACAAATGGCCAACACTTACATGAAAAAAATGCTCAACATAACTAAGGAAATGGAAATTTTAACCACAAGGAGAATATTATCTTACCTCAGTTAGAATGTCTATTATCAAAAAGACAAAACACACATACACTAAACACATGCTGGCCAGGAGGGATAGGGAAAGGGAACTCTTACATACAGTGGGTAGGAATATAAATTAATATAGCCATTATGGAAAGAGTATAGGGATTTCTCACAAAACTAAAAAGAGAACTGCTATATGCCCTAGCAATCTTTTACTGGGTATTTATCCAAATGAAAGGAAATTGGTATAATAAAGAGATACTTGTACACCCATGTTTATTGTAGTAGTATTCAAAATAGCCAAGAAATAGAATCAACTTAAGTGTCCATCAATGGATGAATAAAGAAAATGTGGTATACTGCATATACACAATGGAACACTCAGTCCTAACACAGAATGAAATCTGTCATTAGCAGCAACATGGATGGAACCTTGAGGTAATTATGTTAAATCAGTGGTTCTCAGCCTTCCTCATGCAATGACCCTTTAATACAGTTCCTCATGTGGTGACCCTCAACCATAAATTATTTTCATTGCTACTTCATAACTTTAATTTTGCTACTGTTATGAATCGTAATGTAAATATCTTATATACAGTATGTATTTAGGCGACCCCAGTAAAAGAGTCATTCAACCCCTAAAGGGGTAGCGACTCATGGGTTGAGAACCACAGTGTTAAATGAAAAAACAGGTACAGAAATACAACTATTGCATGTTCTCAGACACTACCACACTCTAACCCTGGCAACAAGAGCCAGACTGTCTCAAAAAAAGAAAAAAAAAAAAAGTTGATTTCATGGAAGTGGAGAGTAGGCCAGAGTAGACGCTGCAGGCCAGGAAAAGTTGTGTGTATGTCTGTGTGTTTGGGGGGTGAGGAAAGAGAGGCTGGTTAATGGGCACAAACATACAGTTAGAAGGAGTAAGTTCTAAGTGGGTGACTACAGTTAACACTCATGTAGTATATATTTCAAAACTGCTATGAGAGGACTTAAACTGTTCCCAAGAGATAGAAATGGTAAATATTCGAGGTTATGGACACGCTAAATATCCTGACTTCATCAATGCATATCTTATGTACGCAGCAAAATACTAGCATCCCATAAACGTGTACAACATATGAATCAATAAAAAAGTTACAAAACTGCCTGCAAAATAAATAAACAAGTAATAAATAAAAATAGATACCACAAATAATACATTCTTAATGAATCGAGGCACTGCCTCCAACTGGCTTGGTTTGCATAAACTAAAATGTAAGACAGAAACTATACCTACTAGCAAAGCTCTACATTTAGCTACGACGCCAAGTAGTATTTTTTCTCTTCTGCCTTTTGCAAAATGTGCCTGCTTTTAAATTGCAAAGACGATTTATAGATTCCCCTATACAGAGAAGTTATATACGAATTCAAAACAACGTATTATCTTGAAAACGTCAGGCACTTAAAATATAAGATGAACCAGACTTCCCAAAACATGTTCTTCATAACTTTACAATAACACAGCATCACCAGTAACACACAAGAACCATACAAAACACTCTCAAAAATAAACAGTCAAAGCGAAGCTGATGCTAAATTCTTGGTCAAGGTAATTTTTCTTCCTACACAAGTGTTCTGGCCAGCAACTAAAACATTAGTGAATTTTTTAAAACTTGTAAGCCCATTCATAAATTAAACCTTGAAATTTAAAAATCACCATTCAGCTAAATAAATTCGCTGTTTTCTTCACTACTGCTGTTTTATTTATACTGAATACCGAGAAATTTCTAAATCTAGGAATAAGCCACAGGTTCAAGTCTTTTTATTCCCTCCCCCCCAAAACACAACAAACAAGCAAGACCTCCTCTCCAGCTTTTCTTTTTAAGGAATTGAAAAAACAGTTCAACTACTTTTCTCCACCTATTCTTACTCTGAATTCTCTACTACTCATATCTCAGACCCAAACCGACCCTGGACAAGACCATTTAAGCCACTATGTCTCCATGAGACTCTAGCAGCCCTTCGCGGTCAAACCCGAGAGCAGTGAGGCCCATCAGTTTTCAGACTCTTGTCTCAGCATTTCGCACTCGCTCAGTTCAAGTTGAAACAGAGGGACCCAGAAAGCCGGGCCCCAAAGGGCAAAGCCAGGGCCTACACCGCAGCGCGGTCACCGAGGCGGCTCGCGCCGTGGAGAGAAGATGGGAGGCACTGAGAAGCGGACGCCTGGGGCCGGGGGCGTTCATGTAAACCCAGGAGGCGCTGGGACCCCCTTCGCTGCCTCCTTTACCCTCCCCTCCCCCATGCTGGAGAAGCAGGGCCCGAGCCCTGTGCGGGAAGGGGGAGGTGATAAACCCGTCCTGTCACTGCACCGGGAAAGGGTGGAAGTGGCACATGATCTGCGGAGAAAAGCCGCGGCAGTCCTAGACTAGGCCCCAAAATCCAGACACCACCTACAGCCCCAGAGTTCCGTTCCCTGCGCCTTACCAGGTCGTAGTCCTCCTCATCATCGCACATGAAATCATCCTCCATGTCAGACATCTTGGCCGGGAGGGGGAGGAGAAATTAGAGACAACCTCCTCCCACAATCCTTCGCGGCTCAGGGCGTCACTCCCGGCTGCTCCGCTCTTTCCCGTTCCTCTTAAAAGAGCTGAGTTTTCTCCCGGAACCAAAGCGCTGGGCTTTTAAAGGATTCTTCACGACGCCAAGAGGGAGTGCACCGTTCCCTCCTTCCTCTGAAGCGATTGGTGTCTTAGCAACTAAACCTAGCAACTGGGGAATCACCGCGTGCCGTGGAGCGCAGCGGAAAGGCCTCAGAAATTTTGCTCTCGCATCTATAAGCAGTTTCCAGCCTCCTAGGAAAGGGACCAGTTTTCTCCCTTGCCCAGGACTCTGGAAGCACCTGATGCTGGTGAACCTAAGGGGCAGCCTAGGACAGAAGCCTTTCTGGAAGAAAAGGCTGACATGCCCGTCCTATATGAGAGGTATTATTTCTGTCACTATTGTCCATGTACATTTACCACACACATTGCAGGAGGTGTTTCTGTGGTGTTTGTACACCTTTGTAGCAACACAATTTACACGTAATACTATATTTGTAGTTGACAAGCTACAAATTTGATTGTGTGGGTATCTCAAAATAGATAACGCATCTAGCACTTAAGGCACTTAAATCTTATTTAGTTGTTCAATGAATTGTAAACTGACCTGCACTGCTCTTGGGACCAAATTAAGTTAAGAGTGACGACCTGTTTTTAAAAAATGCATTCCTGTTGCACCAAAAGGAGCATGCACTGCCATCAGGGGTGTCCCAACTTATGGGCTGGAGCTGCATGCTGATTTTGTGGCGTTTTTGCTTATCTGTTGTGTCAGATATTTCGAAAAGTATACACAGAACTTTAAAAAAAAATCAGCTTTCCTTAGTGTTTGTGTATTTAATGTATGGCCCAAGAGAATTCTTCACATGTACAGCAGAGAAAATAAAAAGGTTGGACATGACACCCCTGGCCTAAATCATTAGCAGAATTAGAAATAAAAATAAAATAGTGGAGGAAAAAGGTTTTTTCTTTAAACAGATAGCATTTTCTGTATAAACTTATGATTCTGTCCACTTGAATACACAAATATTACATAGTTATAGCATAGATATGATTTTGGATTCTTTTTGCATCTGACAGTATGGTTCAATGTATACAATATTCTTGACTGATTATTTTAACGGTTGTGTGATAATTCCTCTTTGAATGTACTAGTGCACTGTAATTTATGCCATTATTGTTATGCATTTAGAATGTTCCAAAAATAACACTATTTTAGACAATTCTGCAGTGACTGTCTTTTTTTTTTTTTTAGAGACAGTGTCTCATTTTGTCGCTCTCGGTAGAGTGCTGTGGTGTGACAGCTCACAGCAACCTCCAGCTCTTGGGCTTAGGTGATTCTCTTGCCTCAGCCTCCCGAGTAGCTGGGACCACAGGCCCCTGCCACAATGCCCGCCTATTTTTGTTGCAGTTTGGCCGGGGCTGGGTTTGAACCCTCCCTCCTTGGTATATGGGGCCGGTGCCCTTCTCACTGAGCCACAGGCACAGTGAATATCTTTGACACTGGTTTTTTCTTTTAGGAAAAAGTCCAAGAGTAGAGATTACAGGTTGGATTTTGTTAGTAATCACTTGATTGGACATCTTTTTGGTTATAGTTCTTGTAGGTCGAGTGTATAGCAGTAATGTTGTCTCACCTCTAAATACACGTATTTTTCCCTAATTGTCTTTTCCTTAATTGTTTTATAGTGAGAAATTTCAAGCATGTATAAAATTGAAAGAACAGTACAGAGGACATATGTATACCTACTATCAGTTTTAACATCAGCTTTAGTTGTTTTGTGTGCATGTATTCCCTACATCATTTGAAAGGAAGATGCAGAGATTACGACAAATTACCCCTAAATGCAGCTATATGTATTTCCTAAAAATAAGGACATTTTCCTATAAAATCACATCATTATTTATATGTATGTAAGGAGATTAACAATAATTCCCTGATATCATCTAATGATATAACCTAATCATTTAAAATCTCCCTATTAAACATAAAATTTAGGGCAGTGCCTGTGGCTCAGTGGGTAGGGCACCAGCCCATATACTGAGGGTGGTGGGTTCAAGCCCGGCCTCGGCCAAACTGCAACAAAAAAATAGCCGGGCGTTGTGACTGGCGCCTGTGGTCCCAGCTACTTGGGAGGCTGCGTCAAGAGAATCACCTAAGCCCAAGAGCTGGAGGTTGCTATGACCTGTGACGCTACGGCACTCTACTGAGGGTGACAAAGTGAGACTCTGTCTCTACAAAAAAAAATTTTAAATTGGAAAACCCTTTAATGATAGAACTTTTGGAGTACGAGTTCTTCTCAAATCCCATAGCTATTGATTCTTGATTCAATAGCTATGAGGTGGAGCTCAGGAATCAGTACTTGTAACTTTACAACAAAACAAAACCTCCCCTTACCTGGGGTGACTATTCATTTTAATTTGTCTGGGACAGACCTGCTGTAATACTGTTGACACAGCATAATAATTAATAGCACCCATCACTCAGAAGTTTAGACAATAAATCACATGGTTACTCTACCTGTAACCTATAATTCTTCAAAAGAGAGAATAGACTCTCAAGGTATTTAAAAGGTTTATTTGCTCAAAGTACAGGCAGTCCCTGGGTTATGAACAAGCTAGGTTCTATAGGTTTGTTCTTAAGTTGAATCTGTATGTAAGTTGGAACAGGGACATTTACGTAAGTGTGTGTTGTGTATCAGTTGGATGTTTGTAACTTAGGGACTTACTGTAATAGCTTCTATTCATAAGGGTGAATTGTACATAAGTTGTTTATAACCCAGGGTATGCCTGTAATCAGAGCCTCATAGTTTTACATTGTATCCAAGATAGTAGTTGGAAATTGATTTTCTACTAAATGTGTGCATACACGTGTCTATCACATGTATAAACTGCATGATGATTTATTGAATTTATTTACATAATTTGCTGCTTTTTTTTTTAATGTAATGCCTCACTCTTAGAATGGAAAAGAATTATGTGAGTATGTTGGTAACTAGGAACACTGGGAAAACAGCAGCTAAATTTTGAATGTAATTTCCTTAGCCATGCCCAAATTTATTAAATCTAGTATGAAAGTTTGCTAACAGAAGTTGAAAAGGTCTTCACAGGGATTTACATGTTACTTGAGTACACAATTGCTAATAACCATTTGTTGAAGCTGAGTATAGTAGCTCACATCTGTAATCCAAGGACTTTGGGAGGCTAAGGTGGGAGGATCTTTTGAGGTTAGGAGTTGGAGACCAAGTTGGACAGCATAGCAAGACCCTGTCTCTACAAAAAGTACAAAACTTAGCTGGACATGGTGGCATGTGTCTATAGTACCAGCTACTTGGGAGGGTGAGGTGGGAGGACTGCGTGAGCTCTGAAGTTTGAAGCTGCCGTTAGCTATGATCATGCCACTGCATTCCAGTCTGGATTAAAGAGTAAGACCCCATCTTTTGGAGGAGGGAGAGGGATGGGGGATCATGGGATATGCCATACCTCTTGGGGGCAGGATACAATTATAAGAGGGACTTTTCCTAACAAATGCAAACAACATAATCTAATTCTTTGTACCCTCAGTGAATTCCAAACAATAAAAAAAAAATTAAAAAATAAATAATGTATTAATAAACATTTTAATAAATTGATCTTTCTGTGCAGGAAATGCTTTTTTTCTTTTTTTTGAGACAGAGTCTTATTTTGTTGACCTGGGTAGAGTGCTGTGGTGTCATAGCTCACAGCAACCTCAAACTCTTGAGTTGAAGTGAGTTTTAGAGACAGAATCTCACTCTGGCTCAGGCTGGTCTGGAACTCATGAGCTCAGGCAATCTACCCACCTTCACCTCCCTTAGTGCTAGGATTAGGGGCCTGAGCCACCACGCCTGGCTGGAAATGCCTTTATATTTATCTCTACATATTAAAATCTTTTTCTGTCCTTAAAAAGTCCATTTGAGGCTCAGTACCTGTAGCACAGTAGTTATGGCACTGGCCACATACAGTCAGGGTTCGAACCTGGCCCTGGCCAGCTAAATGACGATGACAACTGCAACAAAACACTAGCCGGGCATTGTGACAGCACCTGTCGTCCCAGCCACTTGGAAGGCTGAGCAAGAAAATCGCTTAAGCCCAAGAGTTTGAGGTTGCTCTGAGCTGTGATGCCATGGTACTCTACTGAGGGGAACATAATGAGACGCTGTTTCAAAAAAAAAAAAGTCCATTTGAATTTGAATGTTATCTTATTCATACAGCCTATCCTGAATACTTTACACAGTTAAGATAATATCTTTTATTTAAGGGTAAATGACTGATTTTTTTTTTTTTTTTTTGAGACAGAGTCTCAAGCTGTTGCCCTGGGTAGAGTGCCTTGGCGTCAGAGCTCACACCAACCTCCAACTTTTGGGCTCAAGCAATCCTCTTGCCTCAGTTTTTCCCCCCTATTTTTAATAGAGACAGGGGCTGGTCTCGAATTTATGCTCAAGCAGTCCTCCTGCCTCAGCCTCCCAGAGTGCTAGGATTACAGGTATGAGCCACTATGCCCAGCTGAAATTTTTTTTTTTTTTTTGAGACAGAATCTCACTCTGTTGCCCATGCTAGAGTGCCATGGCATCACGCTCACAGCAACCTCCAACTCCTGGGCTCAAGCGAGTCTCCTGCCTCCGCCTCCCAAGTAGCTGGGACCACAGGCGCCCGCCACAACGCCCGGCCATTTTTTGGTTGCAGCCGTCATTGTTGTTTGGCGGGTCCGGGCTGGGGATTCAAACCCGCCACCTTAGGTGTACGTGGCTGGCGCCTTAGCCGGTTGAGCTATAGGCGCCGAGCCCTGAAATTTTTTTATTTTAACAGAATGCACTGATGGGACATGATTGACAATGGATGTTGAAAATCGATCCTATGTGTTAAAAAATATTTAAAAACTCTAGCGTAATTGAAGTATAATTTAGCATTTCATCAAATTGTATACCTTTTAAAAAATATTATGTGGATACAAATGTTTTGGTTAAATGAATTGCCTTTATACAGCTTCAGTGAAAGTTA